TGATGATGTCCATCATATGATGGACGAAAGCTCAGCACGTTTTCACCCGAAACGAGGAAGGAAGTCTTGTCGATTGCGTCAACATGAATATCGTGTAAAAGCCAAACGGCTGCAGTTCAATGAGATTCATCCATCCTCCTCAGGTGAGATCGACCAACGAATCTCTTCCTTATGCACTTTCATACGAAGTGAAGGTCCCCTTAACGATGCAATTGCCGAGCTGAGCAGAGTAGTACTCGGATTAGCGTCCTCTGGCCAGAGGAAGATGCGCTGAAATTTTGTCTATCCTGCCTGACAGACATCGGCATAGGTTTGAGGTTTTTATGGAGTTGCCCTGAGGATGTCCATTAGGCCGGACAGAAGAAAGCTCATCTCGGAAGTCACAAGTTTGAAGCGATCTTTAGTAGGGTTTTGGAGATCTCCAAGTGCATGATAGTAAAAGTATTTCTGTTCCTTTGTGTATGGTGAGTAAAATTTTATAAAACATCTCGCAGTTATATGCATCTGTAAAGAAATCGTTTACAGCCATGGGCCTCTCAAAGGATTGGTTGTTGACGACTCCAACTCATTTAGTATACCAACCTCATTACCACTTGTTTGCAGGATGTGTTTTTCCATCTCTACTAATCGATGCTTTACTAGCTGACCTTATTTGCCAATATTAAATGGAAAAAAAATTTCGTTGAATTTTTCAACGTTAGAACTCAGCTACATGCAGATCTCGCATGCTTTTCACGTTTTACATTTTTGTCGAGGAGACAAACATGAATTTACCACTTCAATTGACACTACTACTTCTCATTTAGTGAGTAGGCATTTTGAAATGCAATGGCATGGACTGGCCAGACCTGCGTGTGATTAGCTTATCGTACAAAAATGTGTCCTCATCCTCATTTTGAAGCTTGTTTATCTCCCTTTGCCGCATCCACTTTACTCCGCCCTCCGTCAGCCAAAGCCATCTAAACATGTCCACTGTTTGTATGGGTTGTAGTAGTCTCGAGAACCTACTCACTTACGAAAAGAATGCCCACCGATTGACCAACACACACAGCTTGACACAAATTCATACCACTCCAGGCGAACAAGTGCACAGACTGACACAAACACAAGGCCTGTGCGAAAAGGGGCGATGTGATCACCTTGCCTTTGGCTCTTCAGGCCCTACCTACCAGGTCACTCTGGTCGCCTTATCTATCAACCGTGAGTCTGGTGGCGCGTCCTGTCAGTCTTCGCATTAACCACTTAGCAGCTGTACCTCCCTCAACTCGTCCTCTGTCGCCTCTTCCCTCGGCTGCTTCTGCCTTACCCTCCGGCAGGCCGCATCCACGCCGGCCAGCGCAACTGTTGCCAAGTCGCAACTGGCCTCAGGTTAGATTGGCCAACTTGATTTCCTGGACGACAGGAGCCAACAGCCTGTCCCGAGGCCTTACAGAACATGCCATGCCATGTCATGCCATGTTGCGTGGATGCACAGGCCCGACTGGTCGGCCAACGAATTCGCATCGCAAGTTGAAGACGAACTGAAAGCGCCAGGCCCACTTCGGTACTAGACAGCGCCGGAGTCAGGGGGCAGAAGAGGACTTGACGGCTGCCTGAAGCCGTGTTAAGCGGTTGACATGTGTCGTCACCGGCCTGTATTACACGGAAACCCCATACATTCACCATCAGCCCTTCCATCATTCATACATTCATTATGCTCATTCTAATGGCCACCTATCAGACCAGTAGATCAGTTACCAGC